CATGTTTGTAAAACTCTTGCGGCGTTTCTGGCTGCAATAAAGTTACATATTTTAATAGCTCACCGCTGAGGCCTTCAACCAATTTATCCGCTTTTTCCTTATCCGAGTACGTCTTTCCTAACTCTTCTAGAATATCGAAGAGCTTCATGACCTCAGCCAAATAGTCATGAACTGATTCGTCGGACTTAAACTTTCGACGATTAAGGACCCGGATCTGATGCTCGAGATAACCTGGAGGACGGAACTGGCGCGTAAGAAGCGCCTTTAAAATCTTCCAAGAAGCTGGTCTAGGAATTAGAGCCTTATTCCTATGATACCAAGCCAAAGCTGTACCTTTGAGATACAACGGCAGGCGATCGGCCATGAGCTGTTCAGTCCAACCCTGTGCCTCCGTTTTCACCTCAAAGTCTTTCAAAAAGATCCCAATATCTTCTTCCGCATCATCTGAAAATGTAGGCGGCGCTACCGGAGGTGGACCCTTTGGTGCCGACACAAGAGCTTTGGCAATGCTTTCAGCAAAACGTTTTTCATTTAGGTTGACTAAATTCACCATAGCTCTTTGTGCTGCAGCGTCGTCAAATCCACGAGGATCCTCGTTGCGATTATCTGCTGCATTTAGCACCGAATCACCATCCACAGAATGGTGCTCATCTTCATGCACGCTTTCGTCCAGATTAGGATACACATCATCGTCATTCGCCATTTCTGCCCTGAATGATCGTAATCGCTTCTGACTTAGATCTCTGAACTGCCTACCGTGCCCTTATAAGGCAATCCTTATAACACAGAACTAAAAGAGCGCAGCGAGAATCTATAAATTAAGCCTGATGACTCAGACTCCGATGTCGCACTTGCTTGCGTACTGACCCTGAACTTGAACCCCAATCAGGATCCACTAACTCTAATCAAAACGCTACCTTAATCACCTGAATGCTTGCAGCTAACTACCAATGTACTCCCTAAACCTGGCTGCAATCACACCGGGAACACCTGGAAAAACTTATGGCAACACACAGGGAATTCACCCCTAAACCTCGCTGCAATCAAACCGGAATCCCCGGAAAAATATTGCAGCTCACGGGCAACCGCCCCTCGAAACAGCTGCAATGAAACCGGAAACCCCCGGAAAAATATTTCAGCACACGGGCAACCGCCCCTTGAAACAGCTGCAATCAAACCGGAAACCCCGGGAAAAATATTGCAGCACACGGGCAACCGCCCCTTGAAACAGCTGCAATCAAACCGGAAACCCCGGGAAAAATATTGCAGCACACGGGCAACCGCCCCTCGAAACAGCTGCAATCAAACCGGAAACCCCGGGAAAAATATTGCAGCACACGGGCAACCGCCCCTCGAAACAGCTGCAATGAAACCGGAAACCCCCGGAAAAATATTTCAGCACACGGGCAACCGCCCCTTGAAACAGCTGCAATCAAACTGAAACCCGGAAAATATTGCAGCACGGGCAACCGCCCTCGAAACAGCTGCAATCAAACCGGAAACCCCGGGAAAAATATTGCAGCACACGGGCAACCGCCCCTCGAAACAGCTGCAATCAAACCGGAAACCCCGGGAAAATATTGCAGCACGGGCAACCGCCCTCGAAACAGCTGCAATCAAACCGGAAACCCCGGGAAAAATATTGCAGCACACGGGCAACCGCCCCTCGAAACAGCTGCAATGAAACTGGAAACCCCGGGAAAAATATTGCAGCACACGGGCAACCGCCCCTTGAAACAGCTGCAATCAAACCGGAAACCCCGGGAAAATATTGCAGCACACGGGCAACCGCCCCTCGAAACAGCTGCAATCAAACCGGAAACCCCGGGAAAAATATTGCAGCACACGGGCAACCGCCCCTCGAAACAGCTGCAATCAAACCGGAAACCCCGGGAAAAATATTGCAGCACACGGGCAACCGCCCCTCGAAACAGCTGCAATGAAACTGGAAACCCCGGGAAAAATATTGCAGCACACGGGCAACCGCCCCTTGAATAATGGTAAAGACTAACGTCAACACTGGCCCAATGCGCACTCCATACATTCAACTCAACACTGACTCAATGCGCACCCCATAGTTTCGAAGTATGACTGGCGCATTATGACTTCCATGCATTAACACGTTATTTTTGCCGGATATCTCAACACACCCGTAATTAATTGAATACAGCTTGTAATTATGGTTAAATATTCATACAGCGCTAAAGATTATAATTATAATACACGGAATATACTGATGATAAAATGCACAAGCAAATAATGAACACACTTATAGATTAATAATATACCGCTGATGTGCCCATAAATCATATACTGCACTATTACCGGCCACGGGATATGTACCATAAAACATTAAGCCAATAATAACAATATATCCAAGAATTACTGATGAATTATGCCGCATGCGTAAATAAGCCGTAATTATGCCAATAACACCGATATTTGTCGAAAATACAGAGGAATTATGCCTTTAAAATCGATCGTACAACAGTGCCGTATTACTGCACACCATATATCATACTAACCAGATAATAATAATCCGATTAGATTGTATTCAAAATGGAGAGAAAAAAAAAATTTATTCATTACTGATATTTTTTCCTACCTTTTTCCCGTTATTTGGCGTTGGCTACGTTTCCAGGCAATTTTTCTGTGCTTTTCAATGGCAATCCTCCGTGGTGGGCTACAGTGTAAAGGCCGGAACTGACGATGGACTAACTCTCTGCACACTTTCCCTTTCTTTCTTTTCTGCTTCTGACCGATACTTTTGTGATCTTACGACTTTCTGAGGCTTATTTATAGACAAACGCGCTGACTGGCTTTTCTCACTTTTATTGACTGACTTCCCGGGCACCAACACAAAGCATCCCAACATGTTTATATCCCTCCGCCGCTTCATGCTAAGCGGCGGAGAGATTATTATTAGCTGCATGCAGGCGGGGCCGCCGCTGGTTCCGTGCGTCTCCATATGTGGAAGTAGCCTTCCCATCCGCTACACTCCACAAATAATAATAGGAAATAAGTAGTTCGAACAAATTTATTTACGGTTTAGGAATAAGTTGGCTAAGCAGTTTGCACACGCTCCGAAAATTCCGGTATCCCAGCATAATTAAGGCTCCCTCAAGCGAGATAGAGATCGTACGTCCAAAGGAGGCGTGGTAAGCCAGTTTAATATCGATAACCGTATCGTTGGCATCTTTTATGTGGGCGTACTTTGGGGTTTGTCCAATGCACGCAGCGTCCAAACCCAATCGAATTTTGCCTTCGTTTAGCAATAGGAGTAGATTATTAATGGCAGGTAAGTCCAGTATAATACCTTTCTGCCGGGCAGTACTAAGTCCGTCAGAAGCGGGACTGCGGGCAAGAATAACAGTGTTACCGATTGTATCAAACCATAATGAAGATTTGCTGGTGATCTCATAGCACTTGACGTTGCCGTCCTGAAACTGGTACTTCAGTTCGGGAAAATCCATTGTGTAAGATAAGGTAAATATTATTGACTGCAAGAAGAACAAAAATAAAAGCAAGTGTAAAATATGTGTCACAAACGCCGTGCTAGATAACTTTCAACATACTTCTGCCATATTCGCCTCTACCCATAAGAAAAGTATGATTAAGGATATGGGGACAGATATCGACACCATCAACGGGTTTCACTTCACTGACATCCGGCAGATTGTCCAGTTCCATATCGGAATGAGCATATGGCCCATCAACTTGATCCTCGGAGTCATCGCAACCACAGTGGAAATTCAAAACTCTCCGATTCCATCGACTAAGCATCCATCCGCTTAGCTGCTCTTGCACATCCAGTACATTCTTTATAAATTTCTTGCTAACTACAGTATTTAGATGCTCACACGTGTAATTGTATCTTGCGTGATGCACACTGATATCCTCAAAAGGTAGGAGATCTTCAACCCCCAATCCGCAAGTAAAACAATACAACCGACCAGCACCGCGGTGATAGAACCCTGCCTCAGCCATCTGGTAAATATCCTGACCAGGGAACAGATTTAAAAAAGCCAAAGAACGTCTCTATGCGCTTATTCACGTCCATCATGTTCGAATTGAAAAGGACTACCTCGTCCTGATAGTCACGACGATAATGCGTATACGTAGGTTCCAAATCTTTAGGATCCACCATTTTTTTTTTGCAATTGAACAGAAAAAATCCGAAGAAAAAGAGAGAGTCAAACTTACTTTGTACACCACCCTGTCCCTGATATATTTTCAAATATGTTAGTTCGTTCAATTCTGACGTAAGTTGCGACTGTGTCTGACTTGTAAATCTTCGTAAACTTCTGCCACTGGTAAATCAGTAACTGAAATTACAGATTTTCGAGCAATGATTCCTCAACTGTAGCCGTGTCAGATTGCCTTAACAGGCATCCCTAACACAGGTACAGATGGGGGTTTGCCCTTTTTTCCCCATTTTTTTTTTATCATTTTCCCCACACCTTTTTTTTTGCTTTTTTTTTTGATTTTTTTCCATTTTTATTTTTTTTTAAACAAGGCTTTTTTTTTGTAATTTTTTCTCTTTTGTTAATTTTTTTGGGCTTTTTTCTCTTTTTTATAAAAATAAGTGCATCAAAACATCAAACGAAGAGTTGAAAAAATAGTAGAGAATTTATCGTGCGAAAACTTCAACACAGCTTTATTCCTGGCTTGAGAAAAATAAATGCAGAAAAATTTTCCAGTCTTGAAAGTAATCTTAAGATTATCATTAGCCCCATCACCATGCAAGAAAAGTTCCATCGGCTTACATTTTAACACTGAAGAATCCAAAAGATCCTGAATAGTGCCATCAGAAATGTGATGAAGTATTTGCGAAACAACGGACGAAGATAATTCCATGGCAGTATACACAAAGCGTTGGTCAGCTTCAGTCGAAAAGGTCTTGCAGAATGATACGGCACTGGTCTTCTTGTGAAATCCCATGTACGAGTCACGTTTAATCTCGTACCACACGGTCGTTGCGTCTTCCAGATACAAGTCCATTACGGTGGCTGCGGGTCCTGTGAGTAGTAAAATGAAAACTAAATATAAGCATAAAAGTCTGCACGCCGTCCTGAGTGTTTTGTATCATCGCATTCTTCATTAACATCTGACTATTGATCTGACACAGCGGCACAGACGTGACTGAACACGCTTACCGGGTTCTTGAAACCGAAAGGTACTGTGGTGAAATCCTCCAGTAGCACACGCTTGTCGTACACCATACGTAGATGCTTTTTAAGACGAATGGTGGAAATTTCTTGTGCTTTAAAGTTCCGTTTAATGTACTCTGGGTACACAACCTGCGCAAAAATTGATAGTAATTACTGGAGAAGTTTTTAAGTTTTGTTTTAATGCATACAGGTAGCGTAGCGCCCTCTAGGATTTCGGTTAGTTTGGCGAAATCCAGCTTCTGTCCGGTGCGCTGAAGATCGTCGTTCAAGATATCTTCAGTGTATCCGTTCTGTGTCATACCCTTAACCTTCAACTGGATTCGGCCGGTATTGGTCTCGTAACTGTATACCTTCGGACCGCAGGATACAAACCGGACAATGTGCTCATCTGGCTTTAACTCACTGCTCCATTGGCCAAGACCGCTGCCGATATCTGGAAGCCAACGCCCTTCTTTATGGACAAAAATTACCGAATCTGTATCGAAATAGAGAAGCCGAGGGCCAAGTTTGGCCATGGTTTTGAACAACTGGATGCGGGCATGACTGGTCGTAAATGCTGCGATTGCGAGATTGGCACAGTTGCTACCTTCGTTATAGTCATCTTTCTGAGAGTAAGTTACCATCATACACTCAGCAGTGACGGCATGAACATTGTGGATTTCGACGGACTTGGATCGTATCAGATCGAGGTATTTTTTCACGCAGAAGATGAACACGGTTTGTTGCAAATTATCTCTTTGACCAAATTTTCCCCAAAAAGAGTTCAACATGAGTTTAGCAACGGCGCGCCTGGCAGGATTATCTTCAATACGATTGATATCGAGAAGAATTCCATCGCGGAGGGCAACTTCTTGAACATACAACTCTTTCTGTCGCTGTGTGGTGCAGCCTGCAGGAAATCCGCTGGCTTCCAACTTCTCTTTGTAAAACTTATCCACGTATTCCTTGAACAGGCCAACCCGAGTCTCACTCCAATGCCACACTTCATATATTTCCTTGACCTGATATCCCTGTCTGAGTGCCATGTGCAATTCCGGAGTACAGAACACTCCTTCGAATGATCTTTCTTCATCCGAGTGCGAACAGTAATCGTTCAACCCTTTTTCCGCACACGTTCGACAAAGTGTAAATATCAGCTTATTGTTTACGGTTGCTGGCAACACGGGGTATCGAATCCTGGTCGGTGCCAGGACCTTGCATTTAACAAGACCGAAATATTCAGTTACGGGTTTGAAGTTGGATACGATTATTTTTGGATGTCCAATTGGATACTCGGCTGTCTTGTTGATGAATGGGTACAGGGAAACGATGTCGTAGTGAAGAATTTGCTCATCGTCTTGAATTTCTTTGAATAAGCATGACGCGTTGGTGCGGCCTCCTTTAAACGCGTCACGAGGCTGCAGAGGATCGCGCAGATTCTGACTGAACAGGAACTGCTGGATGTCCGGATCTTTTCTTTCCTGCAGCCATTCGCAAGACCACTTTTCTTCCACATTGTACCCCATTCCTTCCAAATATAGCTTCTTACGTATCCACTGCTCGTACACTTCTGACATTTTCTTGAGCGAAAACGGTGTCCGGTCATCTTCGTTGGTGCACGTAGGATGTCCGTGGTGGACACAGCCGTTGTATTCATAAATCGTATTCGTATCAGGGTCAAAACCATCAACAAAATACCGATCAAATTTCCGTTCTTTGCCGTTCCGTCCGTGCTCAATGTTCGGATGTTCCAACCGTAGCCATTCAAGCCACTGAGTCGCCTCTGCACTTGTCTTACGATTCGGCTGGTATCCGTTTGCGGATATGACAGCAATTTCCTTCTTTTTAAGAATTTTAGTCTTGAAATAAGTTGAGCAAGCAGCAGCGATCGTAACGCTTTGATAAGGATCAACGTTCGTCATGGCAATAAAGTTGTCTCGAAACTGCAGAGCACATTTCCTCAGGATTGTAACATCTTTCGAACAATAGCCTGCCATTTCCGCACGAAAATCAAAAACACCTGTAGAAGAAATAACTGAAAAAACGGTACAAAAACCTTAGAAAAATAAAATTCACAGTCTAACCTTTCGCGTGTTTTTCCTCGGTGTGCCACTGTTCAAACTTTCGTCTATCCGCGCGGTTCAAACCATCGATCATGTAGTCTTCAAGGTCTGGAAACGGCAGAACTTTATCCCAATTGTCCGGCTTATTAAAACGGTGGGGAAAGTCCCCCTTCTGCTCGCATTCGGCTAGACCCACGGCTTTCGGAAAGTTCGAAAGTTTTGTCATGACAAAGTTTAAGGTGTCACGAGCGCAGATCTCTAGGGCAGGATACCGAAGGTCCAGAATCTGACTCCCCCGTCGTATGACTTCCACTCCTTTAAGATTGTTTTCAATGAGATAAGATAACAGGAAGTGTCCGTCGTAGCCACGGAAATTGTGGGCGATTAATGTGGCTCCACGATGCTTTTCGGAAAAAACCCATTCACCAAATTCTTTCTGAACGTCGTATCCTGCCATCGGAACCCCGTCAGGCGGAAACCGAAACTCTTCTCCAGTAGAATATTGCGCGACTGCATAACAAGGCTTGTGTATCCCTTCCGTGTCCAAATAAGTTTCATAATCAAAGAAAACGAAACGGTTCTGCTCTCCGTGCATGCGTGGTTCCAACGGTTTCAGGTAACATTTGTGGGTAGCCTGTTTCACCCACTCTTGGCATGGGTGACAAAACATCTCACCGCATTCATGAATTTTGAATTTACGAGTAAGGAAACTGACAAAAACTCCACACTTGGGACATATAAACAAATCCTGGCAATAGGTGCGTCCGTTCTGACGCTGCTTTTCGTGAATGTCGAAGCAGTCGTTGTTGTTGAACTCCCGCTTACACTTTTGACAGAACACGCGATCCTTTGGCTCCGGTTCCGGGCACTGCTCTCGGGGCCGATAACATTTTGGACAATATCCTGGACAGCGGTGCTCTTCTTTGTGGTCGGTGGCCTTATCGCAGCTGTGACAATAATATGCACGCTGATGAAATCCAGACGGTGTGGTGATTAAATCAAAATGGCCATCTTCGTAGAGTAAATAAATGACCTTGCGCTTCTCTTGCTTTTCGGGGAATTTGGCAATCACTATATTTCCTTGCTCAGCCCCGACTACCTTGATCTGGTAGTCCTTCAAGACCGTCTTCTGGAATTTATCAATGTCCAGGATTGAGAATTTTTTCCCGACATCCAGACCTGCTTCATTAACAAGTTCACAGGCTTTCTTCTCTAATTTCAAGCTGGTCTTATTGGTGAGAGTGCGCCAGTACGCGCGATCCTTGTTCGGGTCGTGATGACATTGCCCGAGGACAAGGCAAGCTGGCAAACAAAGATTTTTTCCCACATTCACCTGCACAATAGATCGTGCAAACCTTTTCCGGTCGTGTGATGAGTGAATATGCTTACGCTTCGCAGCGCCTCCGGCAGGGATAACGGTACGCTGAATAATCAAGCGCAACGAGTCGTCGATACAAAAAAGGCCACCAGAGTTTATCTTCATCACCATTTCTGTCAGGTCACGCGGATTAAAATTACTGAAAAACTGCATCTTGAGATGCATGGGATTTTCCATGGTTTTCGTAAATATCGTCACACAGACAGCATCACTGGGGTTGAAATCTTTCGAGCAAAGCTCCCATACGGCCTGAAAAATTTCCGGAAGCGCTTGCAAAGACGTCACCGTGTCAAACTCTTGCGGGAGCGATTTGATCTTTAGGCTGTAAAAGTACTGATCGTGGTTGAATTTCTTGTTCCGGTTGTGGGCCACCTTTTTTAACGTAAACGTATCAGACCAGTCGTGTATGGTTGGAGGCGCTGACGGTCCTGGCTGGGGGCTAGACGTTCCGGCTTGCTCTTGAACAGCCGGACTAAGCAGTTCTTTGTCCGATACCATATTCGCTGCAATGGCTGCAGCCGCATCGGCGTTTAGTTGATTATTATTCGCGGGTTGTGCACCACCACCAGCAGACTGTGCCACCGCGGCAGGAGATTGAGGCGGGGTGAAGACCTGCGACCAATGCATGCTAGAATCGACATCCTGAGACGGTGATTGAGGAGACTGATTATTAGCCTCAGTAGCTGCTGGGGATTGCGGCAGTGGTGTGTAGACTTGCGACCATCGGAATGGATTGGTTGGTGAATGTGTTGTGGATGGCTGTTGACCAGGCGGCGAGTAAGGATTTGTGAATAAATGGAATTCAAATCCATCATCGTTCATTGGATCGTTTTCGTGGTTCATCTCCGTACGGACGATCTGACAACTAGATGCTGCCGAGGACACGGTTGTAGGTCTGCAAACCATATCTATTATGTACTAAATGCCTTCTAGCATAGCGAAATAGATTCCGATCTACCAACCTTAGTTTCTCATACGCCCTTCTGAAGTAGTCGCCTCCTATTGCACTTCGGATATGGTTACAGATCTCGGTAATCTGTTGCGATGTGACTTGACGGCTAAAATTTACTCGGTGCCCCATCAACTGAACACTGACGCCGACTTCGCGGAGAGAAGCTTGCAAGTCATGGCCTGCCATGACCTTTTCCATAACGGTATGAACAAAATATCTGGAAAGGTACGTACAGGCTTTTCCAAGTACAGGCTTTTCGTGTTGGACACTATCCGGCAGAAAATTGTGGAACTTCCGCGGAATTGTCGGTAGCCACTGATCCGCGAAGAATTTATGAAGAGTTGGAAACACCTTAGATTCTTCCAGGACTGTCCTGATGAATCCCACACAATTTGGCTGGAGATCGAGCCATAACTTCCGCTACCATCGAAAACTGAAATGTTGATTTTTGTTCCTAAAACAGTCAAATTTTTTTTTTTTTTTTTTTCGTTGTTTAAAAAAGATAATAGAACGGAAAGAAATCTACTAACCTGTGTTCGAGTAAACCATAACTGCAGAGTGAAAAAGGTTTCTCTTCAGCATTTGTCGGCTACTGCATTTCATGAAAATCATGAAATTCCCTCTCAAGGTTAAAGCTTCAAACATTTTGAGAACGCTAGGGAATTTGAGTGAACTCGCGAGAAAGTCGAGATCCCACTTGTCGCCGAACAAGCGACCAGGGATATGTGAGTTGTATCGTTTGGTATCGTACATGTTGGTGCACCTTATTCCGGAACGGCGGGCAAGAGCCCTGGTAACTTGATCCAAACATCCAGTTAATCCCGTGGTGGGGCAATCAAGTTCGTTAAGGGCGTTTTCATTGTACTTAGCTTCGGTTGGATTTTTTGTCACTAGCTGGTCAAACAGGTTGGAGAGTTCAGGGCAGTTTCGAATTATATGGTTATCCACAAGTTTTTGACGACACTTTGGGCAATTTTTCATATTTTCTTGTGACGATGGGGTCATAGACTTTCGGATGATGTTGTTCTTCTTCTTCTCCAGCAAAACATTTGCCTGCACACTCCGGTTACGAACCGGAGTTAGCTTTGGGCGTACCATCACGGTACCCACTATTTAAAAACGAAAAAAAGAAAAGTTGATATGCCTGTAATAGAAGGCACAAAAAAAAACTTCAGTTCGACCCGTTATGTCACGCTGAGCAAATACAGTACATAACGCGGTCGAGAACCGGGTTCGAGGCCAGCAGAATTTGGTGTTGTCATTGGGGGCCATGCCGGATAGAAATCCCTATGAGCCCCTGAGTTCCCTTGCACTTGCATAGAAACTCAATGGCGACCGCCCGCAGACGTTGGTATCGTCATTGGGGGCCATGCCGGATAGAAATCCCTATGAGCCCCTGAGTTCCCTTGCACTTGCATAGAAACTCAATGGCGACCGCCCGCAGACGTTGGTATCGTCATTGGGGGCCATGCCGGATAGAAATCCCTATGAGCCCCTGAGTTCCCTTGCACTTGCATAGAAACTCAATGGCGACCGCCCGCAGACGTTGGTATCGTCATTGGGGCCATGCCGGATAGAAATCCCTATGAGCCCCTGAGTTCCCTTGCACTTGCATAGAAACTCAATGGCGACCGCCCGCAGACGTTGGTATCGTCATTGGGGGCCATGCCGGATAGAAATCCCTATGAGCCCCTGAGTTCCCTTGCACTTGCATAGAAACTCAATGGCGACCGCCCGCAGACGTTGGTATCGTCATTGGGGGCCATGCCGGATAGAAATCCCTATGAGCCCCTGAGTTCCCTTGTACTTGCATAGAAACTCAATGGCGACCGCCCACAGACGTTGCTTTAACAGTAACGAGTCGAGGCCTTGTATGACCCCTGGAAATGAGAGACCCGCAGGGGCCCCCTAGACTACACCGTGATACGTGAACGTGCCCTCACATTAAAAATCGGGCAGAGGTTTCCCCATTCGGGTAAACCAAAACCCGATTTCCTCGCCTCCCTGCTGCATTCAAAAAATTTATTTTCCTCGGTTTCCGTGAAACCTGAGCGAACATTATTTGAAATGCGGAGGTCGGGAACACTGGTTCTATTTCCAGTTGAGAACACCAACTGCACACACTTCCGGCGCAGTCATTCAAATTAAATATTCTACTGCAATTTGTATCCATGTTATATGCAACTGGTTTTTTTTATATTCTAATAGAAGATTTACCAAGAAAATCCTATAATGTTATAAATAAAGAAATAATGCTTCTGCGAAAAAATTAAGAAATAAAAGTCGTGTGAAAATACCATAGGAAATTCATTGATTTTACCTTAACGTCTGTCCGTTGGCGATCCGGAATGGTTCCGATATAGACGGCAAAAAAAACGGAAGTGAAGAAGGATTTCTGTTGTGGACAAGAAAACAGTAGAAATATATATAATATGTATTTAAATTTAAATGGTACTAACATTATTCCGTTGGCGGAAACGTGGTCGGAAGGCACGACGCACAGACACAGACACACAGCGAATGCTTGTGTACAAAAACGCAAATACGCACTGTAAATAAGAAATCTTGTGTTATTTTCATTTTAGTGTATAAAATATCATATTGTAACATTTATAACATCATATTATAACATATAACATCAAATATTAACTTTATTATAATTATATATGTATAAAATAAATGGAAGAAAAAATTGCACATACGTTTTCCAAACGGAGCTCACGCACGACAATCCGTTCCCACAAACGACACCAAACACATACACACGGAATCTGAAAACAGAATAATATTATATAAACTATAATCATACAAATATACAAAATTTAATAATTAAATACTTACTTTTAGCGATTTGAATCGAGGAGATTCAAAAAACCAACTTGCATCCACACGGTGGAAAAATGGCGCTTGCAACGGCTGGCTTGCATTAACTAATGTTATGCAAGCCAGCCTAACAAGCAGGTGCATAGCAAGCAGGTGCACACCACTGCCCTCTGTCCGACACACAGACACAGCACAGACAGGGAAAATGCGCACACCCACACACACACACACACACACACACACACACACACACACACACACACACCGAGAGAGAGAGAGAGAGAGAGAGAGAGAGAGAGCCGCCGCCCGGAAGTCCAGGCTATTTGTACGAGCGTGGGCGGGGGATGCTATTTGACGGGGATAAAAGGGGCGGGGGATGCTATTTGACGGGGAAAATCCATGCTCTTTCCCCCGAGTACTCTTCTATCCTAATTACTGTAAACACTGCAGATCTTACGGATCTTGCAGATCTTATTTGTACGGCTACAATATGCTTGAAAGTGTGATAACAAGGGGACAGTTGATGGAAATTTGAACTGGATGCACTATAAACTGACGTGCGGCTACACGGTCTCATTTATAGTGGCATTGTGCTAGCGGCAGAGGATAGCAAATCATTCTTATTTTATTAAAAGTGCAGAATTCAGTTTCACAGCACCGCACAGGTCATCAGACCGTCGTATATCACAAAGGTCATCACACGTAGCTGTGTACTCTTGTTACAAAAATGAGGGATGAAGGGCTGGTCAGCTCGTTGCTTGGGTATGACACACAATGCCACGCAAAACGAAAAGATATAATTTGCTTACTTTTTATACTTATTTTAACTAAAGCATACCGGGCGCCTTTTGTAAATGCGGGCTTACAAGGAATGGGTAACGGTGCTTCTACTATTTTTGTAAAAATTTCTCAAAGACTATGTGATTTTCCGTATATCAGGTGTTTTTTCTTCCGGTTTAGAAGGGCCCGCGCTGAAGCTCGGACTTGGACTCGGACTTGGACTCTAAAACTCGGACTTCACTTGGACTCTAAAACTTGGACTTCACTTGGACTCTAAAACTCGGACTTCACTTGGACTCTAAAACTCGGACTTTATGACTTAGACTTGGGTTTAGGCGCTTCTCATGTCTTCTTACGTTTCTTCATGTTTTGTGAGGATTCTCAGGTTTCGTAGGTTTCTTTGGATTTCTTAGGTTTCTTAGGTTTATTGGGTGTTCTTAGGTTTCTGAGATTACTAACATTTCTTACGTTATCTGGGTGTTCTTTGGTATTCTGAGAAACCTAAGAAACCTAAGATACCTGAGAAACCTAAGAAAACTGAGAAACCTAAGAAACCTAAAAAACTAAGAACACCAAAGAAACCTAAAAGCACCTAAGAAACCTCAGAAGCCTAAGAAACCTGAGAAACCTAGAAACCTAAGAAAACATGAAGAAACGTAAGAAGACATGAGAAACATAAGGAACGCCTAATTCCAAGTCCAAGTTAGAGTCCAAGTGAAGTCCGAGTTTTAGAGTCCAAGTGAAGTCCAAGTTTTAGAGTACAAGTGAAGTCCGAGTTTTAGAGTCCAAGTGAAGTCCAAGTTTTAGAGTCCAAGTGAAGTCCAAGTCCAAGTTTTAGTAGTCCAAGTCCGAGTCCAAGTCCGAGTTTGAGCATGGGCCGACATAGGCGGGGTCCGATATCTCCATAGCTTGAAAGTTGAAAATACTCCGTCGTCAGCAGACTAATCACCTGGCGAAAGCCAAAGAATCGTAAAAACCAAACTCCACAAAAATAGGTATGCATGTGATTGAGTGATCTTTAGTTTTTCGATTCGTACTCGTATTATTTTTTTTTAAAACAGCGCTCGCAGTTTGTTTACTTTTAGGAAAATGATTTCGGATACAGAAACAGATGTACACATTAATTATACTCGAACTAGCATTTAGTATAACTACAATTTCGCACCAAATCCGACTTGATATCTTCTTTAATGAACGAATAGATCTAAACGGCATGCGGCCCTGGAAAATAAGTACAGTACATGATTTTGAAGCCTATAAGCTGTGACTACGTACGGTGTTGATGAGAAAGGATCCGGCTGGATGATCAGCGTCCGACTAGGACACAATACGATAAACACAAAAACAAAAA